AGACCATCCTTCCTGACTCTCATTTCTCTCATAATTATAGCAGGCTGGAGATGAACCCTGGAGTTCAGAGCTGAATTTCAAATTTGGTTCCTGATTTTTGGCTGAGCTAGTGTCTGCTGTTAAACCTGGGCCAGAGGGAGGTTTGTATTCCCTCTCTCTCCACCTGAATTCAGACTGGGATTCTTGTTCCAGTCCATCTCTAAGATAGCAAGGTCCACTGTCTCATTTCCCTGGATCATCTGGCACTGCTTTGCTACTCCTGGCCTTCAGGCTGCTCCTAATTCAAGTATGTTCTGCTTTCACACCAATGGCTCAAACTTGATTTTCTTAAGTCCTGATGCAGCTCATGGAGTCAAAAGAAAGACTCCCATTGATTTCCATGCGAAGGAATTGGACAAATTCATTCTTTTAACCAATGTGTCCAATAGAGTTCACAGACAGCCTGTTCTCACTGAGTTTGGAGGAAGTTGTTTCGATTTTTATTCTTAATGGGGAAACCCTTGGGTTTGTTGCTATTTGCTGAATAAAAATTTCTTCAGGAAGTTCAAAAACATTCAAATATATGGCAGACCATAGGAGCAAGGCAGCAACTTTCTCAGGCAAGACTGAGATCATATGGGAAGGAATTTATTTTAATGTAATTTCTCTTGGATACTTGGGATTTAACAATGTAACACAAGCTACTGTAACATTTTCATGCTATTTAAAAGAAAAGTCACTATCAAGAAAGAAGGTGGTGTTGAAGTCTGCTGCTGAATGCAGGGGTCAGTTGGAAAAGTGATGCTCTATTGTCTTATGTCTTGAGTCTTCAGAGATAGTAGTTTTATTTGGACTTTTTTCAGGCAAGATTTTTGTGGACTTTCTGGTGAGTTTTGGTGAGTGAGGATGGAGTAAATGCAAAACACAGTGTGTCAAGATTGCATTCAGTGCTACTTTCCATTTTCAAACACTCACGAGAATATATCTAATGAGAATACTTCACCACACAGCACATGGCTTTGCCCCATGTAGTTCCCCTGATCACTTCTGCAACTGGCGGTGAGTCTTGTGGTTCCTTGCTCTCTGTGACAATAAACTGAGCTTTCTGTGGCCTGAGTCTGTAGTAGTAAAACGGGTAATCTAGCTGGAAATCAGCTCTACCTTGTTTTGTGGAATGCCTTGTTAGAGAGCTGCCAAATATCTCTACCCTGGAAGAGAAGTGACATCATTGTAGCCGATATTGTAGAATTTAACACACTTTTTGAATCCAACTTTGGCAACAGTGACAAAGACAAATAACCTGGGCAACCAAAACACATCAAGCTTAGCTGAATGGTCAGACTGTACCCATACAAGATACCAAATGGGGTTGGCAACTGCTCCTCCTATATAACTGACGAGAGTGTTTAATAGTTTTTGTCTTTGGTCGCAAACTGCTGTCTCCCAATTATGGGATTCCTTAAACATGCTAGTAGTTTGTGCTCAGGAAGGCCCTGTTTGTTTTTGAACAAATACAAAACCGAGGTGGATCCCAGATTCCTCTGTTGGAGCCCTGGGATGGAGTATAGTGCTTTGCTGCTTGTTTCTAATTAGACTAGGAAGTGCAGTCTATTATTATTTTCTTTTCATTTACTGTAGTGCCTGTGAGCATTAGTCTTGGACTAGGATTCCATTGTGCTAGGTGCTGCTGAACACATACAGAACAACAATACAAAATAATCTTTGCCTCACAATGCTGAAAAGCTACTCTGAAAAGTGACTCTGAAAAAGCGTCCATGTTTGTGGTCTTCCTGATCAAATGGATTCCTTGAGAAATCAATTTCTTCTGATTGCCAATCCTGCAAAATCAATCTGGATGCTAAAAGTCACTGTTACTGTGAATCAGCTAAAAATTAGGTGGCTGATACAGGCATGTCAGAATAGACTTTACCTTACTTTCCCACAGCTAGGTTGGTTCTGAGAGTTGGTAGGAGTAACGGGTCTCTGACTCATGATGTAGGTAGACATGAAACTGAATTTAAACAGGAGGTTGATCTGATGAGTAAGAAGGTGTCATTTTTGTACAGGGCCAAAACCCGTGACGTTAATTGACCAAACTTCCTATTAACAATGAACGATAATTTTGCTTGATTAAGGAAGGTAGAGTTTAGCCCCATGTCAGTTTTAAGAGAAGAACTGCACTAGAAAGAAAAATTTAAAAAGGACTCCCCAGGCTGCTTCACGTGTGCCATTCATTCTCCTTTCACATTAGCTGTTTATCCCAGAATTAACTCAGTTTCCAAGTACCTGAAACACTGTCACCTTGTTCAAGGAACAGAAACCTGAACAGTAACCTGGCCTATTCCCCCCAGGGAACTTTGAAATGCCATTAAACTCCCTGAAATAAATCATTCTCTTT